CCGCACAGGTGTCAATGTTCTTTTGCAAGAACAAATGAGTAGTTTCAGATCTCACTGGTTAAACGGGCTAGATGCGGGCACCTCACATGGGGACGATAGAAATGAACAGCCTGAGGGTTTTGCTTTGGGGGCCCACGACGGCATGATGAAGCTGTGCTTTCAGCAAACAGCTCCTAGAAAGAGAAAGCCAGCATCATCTCAGCACATTCGTGAAGCACATGTTCCAGCTTATGATCACACTTTAAAACGCAGCGGTGTCCAAAATTGACGCTTGGCCCAGCCCAAGCACAACCCTTAGTGAAAGCTGACAAAAAAGGGAAATGTCCCCTTTAGTAGTCCAACAGATTTGTTTATCAGCCCAGTAGCAACAAAGCAGCAGCAACACAACACAAATCCAGCTGCGCTGTGTGTCTTGAAGCTCGAAGAGCCAGGCAGTTAGGGTATCGATCGGATGACGTGTTGCTACACAAGCTCCTCCTCTGCATCCCCTGCATACGGACGCGGGCCAGGCATTTGGACCCCAAACCATGCGCGACATCCCTGGCCTTGGCGGGCTCAGCCGGCTGATCCCTCGAGCCACTCCTATACTCCAAGGTTTGCGGAGCGTTTCCGAAGGGTTTCTGCAGGTTCCCTAAGGGGGTTCCCGTGGCCGGGTTTCAACCATGGAATTTTCATGTTTGTCCCACGGTTTTTTTTGAAGGCTTCACAAGTTTTCCCATGGACAAAGCGGGCATGCTTGCGATCAAGCGAGCGAACAAGCGGCCCAGGCGCCATTATGTGGAACACGTCGCTCACACATACAATTGCTTTTGAGTAGTAATAGTAGTAGTAGTAGTAGTAGTAGTAGTAGTAGTAGTAGTAGTAGTAGTAGTAGTCGTAGTAGTAGTAGTAGTTTGAGGCTATTTCTTTTGAGCTGGCGATGATTTCTTGCATTTCACGCTGTCCTTTGCTCCTTTTAGGCCGTCCCTCAAACGGAGGGTTTCCAAGGCATCCGTCGCAGGCATGCCTCGACTCCATCCTCTGCGGCGAGGGCTCCACCCACAATGCGCAGAAGCTGCTCACAGAGGCCTGGAGCCGTGGGACGGAGGGGAAGCGAGGGGGCATGAGTGAAGTCAAGTGGCTGTGGTTGTCAAAAATGGGGTAATTAACCCCAAAATGGCTTGCCCTGGTAAATGGAACCCATGGCTAAAACAGGCGGATGACCCCCTAGTGGTTTAATTTTGACCCACACCCAAGTAGTTTCCTTTGGGTCTTGGTGGAGCCCCAAGAGGAAACCAGCATGAGTTGATGCGCGGGAAATCCGTTACTTTTTTTGGGGAAACATCCCCTAAATCATCCACGAGCTTGCTGAATCTAGGGTCGACATCGCTCTGAACTTTTCTGGGGCCCTGGGAAGACTGCCCAAGAGTGGGCGCAAGAATTTGCAGCGTGATTTTCCGGTCGGGGGGGCTGTCAACATATTGGACCCCCTTACAAGAACACCTTGTTTTGCTTTGGGGGGGGGGGAGGGGGGCACCAAAGCTTCGGGCCCAAAACAACGCCCGGCCTACTTTTGTTGGCTATGTTAAGGGGTATGGGTATGGTTCTCACTTTCAAAAGAAGTGTCATCATGTCTCACGCATCTACCCCTTCCCGATAACACTTCCAGTGGAATGGGGTTTTGTGATAGGGCCCCCGATTTAGTGAAGAAACCCACGGAAAAGCGCGGTTTCCACTGGCACAGAGGTACGTGGCTTTATATTTGTTGAGTTGGGCGTCTGGGGATTGGGTCGTTGTGTCAGGAAGGCGCTCGATCATGGAACAACCTCAGCTCCACATTTGTTTGGAAGACCCTGGTCAGACAAAAGTTGCGCATTTTGAATGCGAGAACTCCTTTCCCCCTAGAATCGTACAAGATGAAACCTGCGCAGGTGTTGCGCGGTCAATGTTTGACGAGCGAAGGGCACTATTTTTTCCGGAAATGTGATGATTGATGTGATTGTGCTAGTTGTGATGATCGACCGGATAGCTTCTTATGAAAAGCGGTAAGAAGCTGTTTGTGCTTGTGGGAGTCTTACTGAGGCCGTTTCTGGGTGGACGGACAAGTCCCTGGTGCCAACGCATGTTCTCCTTTGCTCCTCAGTCGCTCTTTGCCCAAAAATGATATTATTACCTTTGCAACAAGGGCAGCGTCCAACGACGAACTGGTGCAGCAATGCACTTTTGCTTGGGGTCAAAGACCCATCCACAGATGCAAGCGACAGATGAGCCGCAGTCAAATAAAACGCGGCTACGGTAAATGGACATGGCGCAAGGGTTCGTTTTGCGTTTGTGGCTGAAATTTGGCAACGTCACCCCTTGTTCCGAATGGACCAGTCTGCAAAAGGTCCCTGGAGTACTTTCTAAGGCTCTTTGATCCATAACTTTCAAACGCCATTCTGGAAGGTTTCTTGATCCTCGCGACCGGACCTTTGCCAAGTGATTCTGACTTTCTGCAGGATGATTCTGACTTGAACGTACTTTTCGCGATACCAGCTCAAGGGTATAGAAATGGCTATGAATGTTGAGATTTGAAACCTCAAAAGCGGATATCCATAGTTAATCCCCACCTGAATGGCCACCAAAGGGTCCCAAATCAAGCATCATTCCCAAGCTGCTTCGGTTTGAATTTGGCACCTTTCTCAGGGACAGCTTTTGTTTGTTAACTTGCGGCAAGGATCCGGTGGAATTCAAAAGGCCCTCCACTTCCGACGACAAGCAAAAACCGCCATCAGACCGAAGCTTTTCGCAGGTCTCCCGAGTGCTGCAGCCCAACGGCGTCTACATCGCGGTGTCCCACGGGCAGCCCTCGTATCGCCTCACCTATCTGCAGCGACCCGCTGCTCGGCAGAGTTGGTTGGGCCCTGAGAACCCTCCAAGCGGGGCGCTCGGTATGCAGAAAAGAGGGGAGCCGCGGGGACCCGTTTATGGTGACAAAGTATGAAACTGAAACTGAGAATGATTTTTTGTACCTGGAAATTGGGCCGACCCGACATGTAGCGTTTTGGGATTGTTTCTTCTCACTTTGGGCTGGAAAGTCCGTTTCCAGCACTTCCGACATTTTGTGTTTGCTACTGCTAGACACGTCCACGTTCACGGGGAGACAAACGCCTAATATTCAGAGTCATGCGGTTTAAACCTCCCAGAGGTTTCCCGGGTGTCAGCCACGAAATGGCTTCTTGTTTGAAATGTGCCCTCTCAAATGGAGTTGGCCGAAAAAAGGGCGTCCATTCCTTTTCTGCCAGGGGTCATGGATCCGCCGTGTCATGGATCCTGTGGGGTGGGCCCTTTTGTTTGATTCCAGAGCTTTGCGTCAGCTCTCACATGTCATAAGACTGATTTAGGCCAAAGGCCCCTGAGATTTGGTCCTCTGAGAATTTACCCCAGCATTTAGGATTTACCAACTTGAGGCATGGCTCGTGTTAGCTCCGACACCTATGACAGGGTTGCCGAGCCTCACAATGAACAACGTTCCTTCTCCAGAAACCACAAATGAGTTCCTATGGGTCGAATTGGTGGGTAGCCAACTTGGTGTCCCTTTCACCTTCAGAGAAAAACAAAACAACATAGCACCCTCGCATGTTCAGGTCGCTTCGGTATGGTTTCGTGGGAGCAACTCGGTTTGACGACGCCCGAGGAATTTGGATGGAATGTGAAGACCTACACCGTGCAGAAGCCCATGATGGGCTGCTCAGCTTTCAGGATGAATCCGGCGAAAAGCGATTAAAGAATTGGTCTCAAAGGGCCCCCCCCCCCCTCCGCCCCAAGAAAAAATATAATAACAATGTGGGTGTCCCTGTGTCCCTTTAAAATCAGCCCAAAAAGGAAGCCCTCCAAAAAGAGATGCTCATCTTGAGAGCAGTGGGTCTTAAGACAGGGACAGGGGGAACCCACCAAAATGGTGTGTTTTCTGTTGGTTGAACCTTTCTACCTACCCAAAACGAGTTGACTCGACAAAAGGTACACCCAGTAAAATTATTTTGGGAACCCCTTTGTGTTGGTAGCTGATTTGCAGAGTTGATCCAAAGCTCAGGGGTACCCCGTGCCAGGGATTCCAGTTGGGTGCTCTTTGGTTTTGCATTCCCAGAGGTTACGGGGGGCCCGGGGGGGGGGGGAGCATGCCAGTCTGCAGGAACGTGTAAGCTAGAACTCCACTGCAACCGTCAAGGCATCCGCTTAGACTAGCTTGCTCCCCGAACTCCCCTGTGCTAGGACTTCGAACTGGACACTTAGGCTTCACCGATGCGACGGCGCTGGGTTTGCATCGGGAGTTGTTTAAACGCTACCACCCCAAGGCTTCTTCCCGGAGTGCCTTGCTTCAGGTTGAATACGTAACACCATGTCTGCGCGTGAGATCCCCATGTATGGAAGGTCCATACCCCCCATTCCCCCATTCTCCCGTTGTAGGTGGGCGTAAGGAATGGAGCGGGGTACCCTACATTTTTCTCAATTCGGGGGGTGGGGATGGCATAATCTGGAAGACTCACCAGTGCTCTAGGCATGACGGCGTCGCTGTCTGCGGACGACAAGGACAGCGTGCACTACATCTACGTGTGCGTGAAGGGGGAGGTTGCCAAGGCGCGGGTAGCCCGAAAGTTTTGAGAAACACCCCAAATGGTTTGTATTCGAGGACCGGTTCTCTCCTGGCATTTCCGCATGCCATCTCATGGAGTCTGAGGGCAATGGCATGGCAACGGCACTTTCCGGGCTGGCCCTAAAATTCATAGACAATGTCATCACCGTGTCGGAACTTCGGAAATTCGCATAGATTGGCAATAGTTCAAGTCTGGCGAACGTAGCATTGGCCTTGGCTTCAGGTGTTTGACCTGGATGCTCCCATGCCATCTGAAGCATGGAGGGGCGTACTTTGAATGGAGGGCTTGAGGCTTGGGTAAACATGATACCCAAGGCCCATAGCAGTCTTAGCAGAACAACCTGAATAGCAACCTTTTGGGTATTTTCTGAAAGTTGGGGTCCGAAAAAGATGGTTGCCCTTCCTTGTCCTTTTGGATCTTGGATCTTGAATTTGTTGTATAGAGTATGTATCGCTGTGCCGAACTCGGGTTGCTATTTTCTGTTGGCTTCTGCTTTAAGCATGTTGGTACAGACATTTCAACAAGACCGAGGACTCGTGAAGGACCCTCGATTAAGGATAGATTGGCCCCCGGTGGCGAGCCAAGCAGGATTGAGTTACATGACGTTTGCTGTCGTAGGCAAAGTTCCATGATATGTTCCTGCAACCCAACCACTTGAACGTATGGTCAATGTCCATCCCCGAAACTCACGGGGGCCCAGCCCTGTGCCTGCAACATAGCCCAGAAGCTCAAGGACATAAAAGGGACAAAGGGACAATTTCTTCGCCAGGTGCTCGTGCCTTGCTAGGGGTACATGGCTGCGCCATTCGGAAAAAAAAAAAAAAAAAAAAAAAAAAAAAAAAAAAAAAAAAAAAAAAAAAAAAAAAAAAAAAAAAAAAAAAAAAACAAAGAGTCCCCAGACACGTTGGCTGAATTGGCGACTTTCTGTTTGCCTTCTTTTTGGTTTTGAAGCGATATCGTCGGAACCGGTGTTTTATTTTGGTTTTGTTTGCTTTATATATGTATATATATATATATACACCAGCCGTGTTCATTTTGAAATTCCTCATTTTGGATTATCATGTTAATGTTCCATGACGTGATTCTTAAGAAAAAAAACACCTCCATCCTTTTGTTTGAGATCACGCCAGGGGGGTCTTGTTCTTTCTTGACATCCACAACGGGACCCCCCCCATTTCAAAAAAAAGCCGGGACCCCCCCGGGCGTGATCTCAACAACAAAACACCAGGACCCTCCAGGCGTGATTTCAAACAAAGCAAAAAACAACACCTGGACCGGACCCCCCAGGCGTGATTTCAAAATATGTGACTCCAAAAAAAAAGACACCGGAGCCGATATCGTCATCAGTATGCGTAATTAATTGTTGGCAGGTACCACTTCCAAGGGAGTGTCCTTCTGGCTGGATCACTTTTTAAACGAGACAATGGATGCTCACAAGTAGAGACGGGGGTTCCTGGTCGGACCTTGAAAGTCATCACCCGCTGTCGCAGCTGCGCTTTCGCCAGGATTCATGAGCACCAGAGGTGGTTGAGGTGGGGAAAGCCGATGGGCCTGAGTAATCACGCATGTGATTTCTTTTGTTTGGGGGTCTCATTGTGAGGAAAAACCAGTACGTAAATATGTGACATGTGCAAGGAATGTGAGTATCATGGCATCTCTGAACTCCTTCCGGGAGATATAGGTTTGAGAGAATCTTGAACACGAAATGAGGCGACCCCCAAAGTCGGCCCTTTCACTTCCCCTTGCCAAGCCGGAAAGACGGCTGCGGACTGCCCGAGGACACACCCCATGTCTCCAATTGGGCGACTTAGGGGAGCGGGCTATAGCAGCGATTCAAAAAACGATTCGGATTCTGCGTCCCTTCGAAGTCTTTGCAGAACGTACAACGGATCGAGGGTGACACCTTCGAAGGTAATAGGAACACTGATGAGATCGTATTTGGAGAAAGGACGGTTGGGACTGGTCTGGTGGGCCCAATCAAGCAGAGCAGGGGCATTGCTCCGTGCTATTTCCTGCAGCAGCAGCGCCCAAAACCTAAACCTGTTATTATACTTTGTCGCTGGTCGCCGCGGGTGCTTTGGCAACCGGAACTCAAGGGTGTGGTTTTTGCTGACTGGTAGGTTGCCAAGCATGATACAAGTGGACAGAAGGCTGACCCATTTCTGCACTTCCTAGCTTGTTCCAAAGCGGCTACTGGTCAGGGATATGGATTCAAGAGGATGTGCGCAGGAAATAGGCAAAGTTTGATTTCCAAGACAGGCCCGTATTGATTGCTTATGCGGGGATGATGTGTAGGCCCCATCTGTTCCCTTGCACAGATATTGCCTGCTGTTCTCCTCCGAAGAAAAATCGGAAAGCAACAACTCAGTGACCAACCAGGACTACGAGGGTTTGAACCTATGAGGCGGACGCGCCATTGCGCCATAGCCACTTTTCTTCGAGTAGTGGCCTGCAAAGGGATTCCCAATTCAGCTGCCTTTGCCCAGAGCCTTTTGGGGAGGATGCCTCACATCCAAAATGTTGGTTTCATTGATTGCAACCTTACAATAGATGTTAGCTTTCATATATTTGCCTTGTGTCCAACTGATAAGCTATCACAATCTAGCTATTCCTAAACTATTCCGTGTCCCGGCTGCAGGTCGATCAATCCCCAAATTCCCATGGATCACTTTTCACATCAAGGAAGTCATCCCAGTGGATCCCAGCTACTTCTCTAGATAACCCTTCGCCACTTTCCTTTTGGTTTTTAAAGGCTGGTTCCTTTTGGTTGCCTGCAAAACCAGGCAAATGACTGGGCATATGTTTGCTGGTTGTCCATGGTCTCATGAGGACCTTTGAATCACTCATCTCTATGGATCTAAAATCTTAGCCAACAAAAACAATCAGAACGGTCTGAGGAGAAAGGCGCATGCAAGCGGCCTACAGCCCATGCTTAAGACAGGGTTCCCAATATTACCATGAATCTCAACAGTTACCCCGTGAAAGAGTTTGGTGGGCAGAATTCTTCACCTAAATGCTGTCCTGAGGATCCCAAAAGTCGAACTTCATACCCGAGTTCAACATTGGGGTCCGTAGTTCAAAGGAGTTTTGTAATGGGGAACCTCAAACTTTCCCATGTGGCCCCGAAAGGTGATCACTTTGTGTTTCTGGGCCCTTTGCGCAAATGAGTGTCAACCATCGTTCCCTATTGAGACACCCCATGGCCGGTTCGGCTGTCTTGTCTAGGAGTGCGGCCAGCAGTGCGCGTGAATGGTGCAGGGATCGATCCGAGCGCGCGGCTGCCGCGCGAGCACTGATTCGCGGGTCTGGACAGTAGCCGCTGCCATTGTTTGCATTGAGTTAGCTGCATATGTCGAGTAGTGTGTGTATATATATATATATATGTATGTGTTGAAGGAATCCAATGAGACTTTTTGTTTTGCTTGCTGCCAGATCCACACGAGCTCGCAGCGCAGCAATGTTTGCCTTGCGTAGCAGGCAGGCGGTGATTCGAACATGGGTGCTCTGAAAGACTTAGAGCGGTACGCAAATGGGTGTCTCAACTACTTTTGCATGTCAGCAGGATCCATGCCTGACACTCGTGGGATGTTCAAAGGAAGCCAACCTGAAGCCACATGACGTTTCAAAGAAACTAAAGAAACAACGGGAAACCAGCCACAAGGGCTCCAGATCCTTTTGAGACACATCCTGTGATGGAGATCGCTCGACGCCAGCTTCGCTTCCAGCGGTGCTTTGGCCTAAAGATCAAACCTAGCGCGATGGAAAAGCGCCGCCCGTACGAGTTGGGCCTGGGGCAGCCTTTGAGCCTTGCTTTGCCTAAGTTGGGTCTGTCAGGTTCACAAAGGTATTGTGTATGCACAAGATTCACGGACCGCAGTTGGGATGGATAAAACCCAGTGAATACTGGGAAATTGCGATCTAGCTGGGGCAGGATTTTCACCGTCGCCAGTAGGGTTTGCGTCCTGTAGTTCCCTGCAAAGTAAAAAGAGGAATGATTTCCCCTTGGGAAATGTTCCCGTTTTGGTCAACCCATAATAATTTTCAGACAGTTTGTCCACACATCAATGACCCCTCGGCACTGCGAACGCACAGGCATTCAGGTAGTCTTACCTCTTAAAAACACAACTTTCAACTTTTTGGGTAACATGGGCTATATGTATGTAAAAGATTAACTTCCCCAGGGCTTGGAGTTTTAAGGGGTAAGTCTACCCTTGTTTTGTCAAGGATTTCTAGTATTCAAACAAAAGCGATTGAAGAACACCACAACACCAAGATACATTTTGTTCAAAAGTGGAAGTCGATTCTCCCAAAGATATCGGGCTCGCCTTTGTCCAGAAGCTCAGTCAGCCTCGCGCGGGAAGCGAAGCGAGCCCCGCAGGTGCTGCCGGTGGTTCCTTCCAGGAGCCGCGACCCCATGGCCCGACGCCCAGAACTCGCTCTCGCGTTGCGTCCGGAAACCCGGAGGCAAACCCGGCGGGGCCAAATTTCTTGGATTTGATCCTCCAGGTTTTTTTGATCCTCCCACAAAGGCCCCCACAAAGGCTCATGCCAAGAACAGTAGCAACAGGCGGTGGGGTACCTGGTGAAACCAAGTCGGAAGATGTCGAAAGAACGCTGGTGGGTTTTGGGGTGGTCGGGTCTGGGAAGGAAGCTGGATCTTTTGGTGGTGTGTTGGGCAGGGTGTGAAAGGAATACCAAGTTTCGGGATTTGAGGGGGTCCAAAAGGACAATCTGGACCCCCGTGGCCTGAGTCTTCGTCTTCGATTCGAGTGTTTCATGCGTACGGCATGAGCTAGATCAGATGGGGTCTTTCAACAGAAGGTTTTCCCTTTGGCTTCTCTTTCCAGCAGCCACAAAAGTGTTTCCTGACAAGTTCCTACCCCCTCAACAATGGAATTGGGGGAAGGGGGGGTGACCCCTGGAATTTCATGTATGGTTTCATGGGGAAGACGAGATAAATAGAATTGGGGGACCCCCCGCAAGTTAAGGTAGGGGGATCCTGAGAACAAAGGCAGACCAAGATGCGTCGGTGGCACGGGACACTGCACTACGTCATGTCATTGCAACTTGAATACTTTCCTTCCATGGAAGATGCACCAGAAACACCCGCACAAGGTAGGTTGAGACGATCCCCAGAAAACCGCGGGGTGGGGTGTGGATCTCAGACCGGGGGAGCCGCACAATCCGGACATCCCGGGACCAAGGTGGCATGGCAAAAGTGAAGATACCCTTTCAGAAACACAGAGGGCACCTATTGGCCCCCTTGATTGAAGAAGTTGGACCTGCAGAGGCTTTCTACGCGCGGGGTTCCTTTGTTTCCGTGCTAAACAGCCCATATTCTAAGTTTCCCCCATAGGACATTGACAGAAAATGGGTATGTGTGCCATGTCCAACCCTACCTCTGTGTAGCATCCCGCAACCAAAAAGAAAGGCAAACACTGCACCTCCAACTCGGCTTTGCTACAAGATAGTTCTCCTGGTCATGTTCAACATCACTGTTTTGGGTCAAATGAAGGTGCTTGGCTTTGCAAAAGATAGTTCCTCTGGTCAATTCAAGGTGAGACACTCCAAAACTCCCCCCGGCAAAGCGACGTCAGGAGCTGCCCATCATGATGCTCTCGGCCATCTATCTGCCGCGCCCGGATCCTCGGCCAAAGGAGCGCAAGCCCAGAAACTCCAGGCGAGTCCATGGGCTTCGTAGGAACTGGGTGTGGCTCAAAATTAAACAGGAGGGGCAGACCGCAGGTTTGGGTCTCTGGTTCCACTTATCAGGCTTCCATTTTGGAAGCCCGGTTTTTTGAGCCACAGCCAAATGGGCGGCAGGACAACCCCCAAAAACAGAAGCACCACGACTGGTGACCTATAGAATGCAGTGATACCAGAGAAAGTAGATGGCATGATTGTCTCTATTAGGGTAAGGAAAGGGGATTACCAAACCCAAGATGTGAGAAGTGTGCCATATGTTTGCCATGTGCATACACCCAGCTGTAGTTGGATGGTTTGCACCCCTATACAAGAAGGTTAAGTGTTAAATGCGGCGGCACTTGGCTAGCTCCTGGACCATCCAGGTATTGAACACATGATCCTAGTGCCAGACACCCCAAAGGCTGTGGAAGAGCCCCCAAAATAAATGGCAAACGGGAGGACGCTTGATGCCCCAAACGGAGCGGGGATCCTGGCCAACGTTTCTGAAAAGCAGAAAAACAGATCCCAATAGCAAACCCTGGCTTTGAGTTGGAGCGTTCCGGGGTTTGTACTGTTTGGGCATAATCCGTGTTGGGGGCAGAAGGGCCAGTGTTCAACAGACCCTACGTGCTCTTCTGTGCCACCAGCGGGGTGATGTGGGGACGGCTACTGGCGACGCAGGATATGTTTTCGCCTTGGTTCGCTTTGTGTGGAAAGAAACACCCTGTTTGCATCTGGAAATTAATTCGCGGGGGTCATCCCTCCCTTTAACTGTTCAATCAACTCAAGGCCGCTCAGCCCTCCTGGAAAAAGGGTACTCTCAGAGCCTACCGGCAAAAGCGAAACAAACGAACAAACAAACAAACAAACACACAAACAAACAAACAAACAAACAAACAAACAAACAAACAAACAAACAAACAAACAAACAAACAAACAATTATACAATTAAGCAAAAATAACAACACCATCCAGGGAGAAGGCCATGGTGATGACTCCTGCTCATGTGTGAACCACTTTGCTTGAGGTTGGTGTCATGGACCCCACATAGGCAAGATGAGGGTTCACCAGCCATGTTAAAGGGTGTTCCACTAATGGCCATGTATTAATGGCCGCATCCAATTTTCTTTCTTCGTCGCACCTGTGAATTCGTAGGAGCTGGCATTTGTGCAGTGACAACGTATGTGAAATTCATTTTGCAAAGGGTGCCGCCTCTCAACAAATCACATACGGATTCCAATGCCTTGGACAAATGTTTGGTTTGTTTAGCCAGCCCAGCAGATCGGTTCTCCGAGGGCACTTGTTTCTCTGCATTGCAGGTTGACGTGTATCCATTCTGGGTCTGCTTCCGACGGGTTTCCGGTGGTAATTGTGATGGACAAGTTCCCACACCTGTTGGGAGAGATGCAACCCCGTGAGTAGTGGGATGAACCGCCGACCAACTGCTTCGAAGTGGATGTTGCCAGTATGGTTGGCTCCCAGACACGAGGGAAGAAAAAACTAGAACAATCGCACAAGGACCAGACTCACCAAGTTTCCTATATCCGCGTTAGGAGGCTTAAGGAATTTTGACCGTATCCAGAGAGACATCTTCGCCATGGCTTTCGGCGTTTGTTGCTTCAGGTCAGAAGTCCAGGTGTGGCTCGCAGAGCCGTTTTTGCACGGCCGGGGCGTCAGGAGCCCTCGACTGACTCTCAGGTAGACTAAATATGGAACAGAGTCAATAACTGTTTGCTTTTTTTTCAGAGTACCCCGGATGTGGGCCTGATGTGTATGTGTGTGATTCGAAAGCATCCATGATTACCTCCCCCTGTTCGAGAACCCACATGAACCTAGAACCAACCACGCTTGTCGTATACATTTTGCCATTTCCTCCAATAGCTGAAGCTTGGAGGTCTCAGCCCAAAGCTTTGGGGAGCCTTTTAAGGAGGCTTCGTTTAGGCTCGGTTTCGGCCTGGTTTACCGTGGGTTGGTTGAGGGTTGGTTTTGATTGGGCGGCGCTTCCTGCAGGCTCGGCTTTCGGTTGGCTAGCCCTTTGGACTGCCCAAAATGCGTGGGGATTCTGGGCCGGGGAGGGGGGGGGAGGTAAATGCCATTGGGGGGAGAGGGGCTAGCGAATCTAGAACGGGGAACACATATCTATACTGCTCTATAAATACATACATTGATGTGTGTATTGTTTCTTGTAGTTGAAGGCCGTTTGGCCCAGTTTCCTTTTGCAGGAAATGCACTATTATGCTTGGAGCAACCGTGCCATGCTCGCCTTTGCGACCTTGGAACCAGCCTCAAATAGGTATGTGTGGTGTTGTTTCTTTGACTTGCACAATAATAAGATTAATAATAAAATGATAACAATAATAGTAAGGATAATAGTAATAGTATGTGTTTCTGTGTTGGCTTTAAATTTAATATATCACTGCTGGTTCAATGAGTGAAACATGGTTTGACTTTTTCCAGGGGACTTGAGTTGGCGCTTTTCAAGGCAACCATGTTTGGGTGCAGTTGCTCGTTTGAAGAACCCCCCGCCATGTAAAGAGAGTTGCAAGTCAGCGTGCGCAAGATGGCGGGTCCTATACACGCCGCTGTTTACCCCATCTAAACCTGTGGTTGACCATGTTTGGTCTCCATATGTCAGGGATGACCCAACAGTTAGTGCCGCACACCGGGATGGATCGAGCCGCATAGCCAGGTATTCCAAGCTGCGGTAAGGCTTCGGAGAACCGATCGGCGTGTTTCTTTGGCTGGAATCCACCTGCTACTTAATTGGCGGGTTGGTGAATTTCCAGTGGATGTTTCTGCTGGACTAGATTTGGATCGCCTGAAGCCTAAGCTTTGGGATAGATAGTGACTGCCACCACGAGCTTGCTTGATGCTGGCAACTCACTGCGGATAAACAAGACTCCATTTTGAAGAAATCTGAAATGGTCCAAAGCGCTTGTGGTGGAATCTGCGGCTTGTGAAAAGAAGTTGCAAGCAGCCTCGTGCGGCGGGTGGGAATCTTGATCGTGCTCAGAAACGACCATGTCAATCATTTACCTTTTCAGGCAATATGTTCTCACTATGGTGTAGGTCCTTTACTTGGAGCTTCCTTCTTGTTGGCATTGAAATTATTGCATAGAGTATATATAGAATTCGCAGACACATTCTCCGATATCGGGCAAGAGGTGGCTATGGTTGCCGAGAGCGAGCCCTTGTGATGTTTCTTTTGGGAGCCCGACGGGTTTCAGAGCGGCGAGCTCGTTTCCCACCCCGGTTGCTGAAGACTTGCCTTTTTGCGATCAACAGCTTTCAGGCTTCCAAATTGACAATTGCGTCCTTTTTGGTTGTTTTGGTCAAAAAAATAGATGGCTCTGGTTCACCTGGTGGTTTAATCATCCACCAGGGCCATCTATTTGCCCCAAAAGGACAGTCGGACACCTATGATTGTAGAATTGTACCTGGAGTCTCCATGACCCTTAACAAATTGGGTCATTACCCAACATTAAGGTAGGTGGTTGGTCTGGATTTGTGCCTACTCTTGGGTTTGAACCGAAACCTTTCCAACCTTGTTGGATACATTAATTCCTTCCACACCCACTTGCAACAGGTTTTATTCTTGTTCGGGGGGGGGGAGGCAAAGGCCAACATGTTGACGGTCGATTCTTGAAGTATCTTGAAGTGCACATCCAAGTTGTGATTCGCGGATTGTCTGCTTTTCACGTTGCAGACGTGCGTAGGCTTCAATGATCCCTTGGTCCAAGTGGTCAGCATTTAGTTAAGTTTCTCCATTCAATGACCACCAACGAAGGCGGGGGTTGTATTGAGCTCTGATCCCTTTTCAGGCTGATTGAAAGGGATTCCAAATCCCTACTCGCCTTTTTCGGGGCTTGGCACGCTTTTGCAGGGACACCAGAAGGAGACCGATGATTTTGTGGGGTCCCTTATTCTGAGACAAACCCCTGATGATGAAACAAAGCAGTTGGCTTTTAAGAAGGCAAACCAATGATTCTGGGGGTCTCACGTTTTTGGCGCATACCCAACTTTTCAAGACGAAAGCTGTGACTGCGCCATAGCGGTTTCACCGCTTTCTGCGTGCCAAGTTGGCGAAGCTGAGGGCGAGAAAAGCACATGCCGTACCCTGAGGTGATTATTTAGACAACTTTTTCAGGTTTTCTCAAAGTCTGCGTATGTTTCCCTTTTAACCTGCCACGGGACGCGTGGCTTTGTACCAAAAAGTTCTTTCCGTGGGGAAAGGGGCATGCGTTTCGTGTTGGGGGCATCTGCGGTACACTCTTCAGCACAGTTGCTTTTGATTTCGCCCTGTCAGCTGCCCTCCCCTGAATTGGTCACAGCTTTGAAATGGACGTTTCCCAGCCAGTTCGTAAGGGAATCTCCTCCAAAGTATAGTCATAGAAATAGTCGCCGTTGGTATCAGAAGAGGTGTTCCACAACGCCAGCCCTTGCAAAGAAGCTTCGGCCCCTTGAAATTCGCGGTAACGGGCTCAGGGCCGACTGGCTGAGCATGGGAGTTGCATCACGACAGGATTCCTCTTACCCTGGTGTCCAACTCTCCCTCCCAAAGACAAGCAAACTGAATGAAGGCCCCGGTGAAGGTGGCTTTCCGGTGCTTAGTCCTGTTTTTTGGAGGTTTTACGAAGCTACCCAATGTGAAACCCACGATTTTGTTAGTTCGAGACATGCTGCATAAATAAACACTGTATAAAGCTTTGTGAAATTATTGGTCGGTCGCGACCTGATATCGAGGACATCCACATGTTTCACGTGTTTGTTCTGTGCAGGGAAGGCTTGTAGTGTCACCCAAGCTTCATCCTGGAGTTCATAGGTGGGATGCGTCAGAAGTCGCAATTTTGATTTTATGAGTTTTTCCGAAGAAAAGAAACAACATGTGATCTTTGGCTGGCCATCTGCTTTGTTCACCCAGGGCCTCGAAAAGTAATGCTACCCTCATTGCCAAGACCGGATCCGAAAAGCGCGGAGTGGGGGACAGCCACTGCAAGGAACCCACCCCCTTTCCATTCAGCCCTCAAGAGGCTACTGGACGTTTGTGTAGAACTGAGTTTCTGACTTCCTGTAGATGCCGATCCTCGTTCACCAAACAGAAAATCCGTTGCAAACAGACCATGGGTTTGCGGACTGTCCACGGGCAACTGTTGTTTGCCGTCGTTTCATGAGCTATTGCGTGAAAGTTCCATGGCTGAAACCCTCTGAATACGCTCTATAGGGAGCCTTGGCCGCCTTAACTGCGACTTGTGTGAGGGACCTTCATATAAGGAGCGTTAACTATGCCCTCAAACGGGCACGTTATACACTTCGAGCAGTTGGAAAGGAAACGCAGCTCAAGGCTCAGACTTCGTGTCACTAGGCAATTCGGCCGCGGATCGCCTTCCTGAGACAGGCCTTTGAACGTGCCGGAGGGTTCCCATTTCAGAAGATAGACTTCTAAGCTCCCCAAGGTGGCAGAACCATGTTCCCCGTCAGGTAAGTAGGTTAAACTCATAGTGAAAAGGGGATTGATTCCAGTTATTTCAGGCAATATGGTAATCTCATCTCATTCCTCACCTGATATGGTTGGAGCATCCAAGTGGTTGCGGAAAATCACCGTCCCTTTCTGTGATATCGTGTAGTGGTTGATTCCCATGACTATCCCCACGGAAGTTTTCTGGGTATCACAGCAAGTGGCCTCAGTTTGCCTAAGCCGACGCTTGGTTGTGTGAAAACCCCGAGGTCGATGTGTTTTGGCTTTTGGAACCAAGCAAAAAGGCTTTTGAGGTTGGTGCTGTGAATGGTTCAACCCACGTTGCCCCCAGTTTGGGTTGGACAAATTGAGACCCAAGGATTCCGCGATATAATATTGATGTACATGTTATTCCACTTCATGATTCCCCCAAACAGTGCATTGTTTGAAGTCTTATGGTGCCCAAAATCGAGGTGCATGCGCCCGTTTGGCTTTAGCATCTTCTTTTTTTTCCCAGGCAATATTTGTATCTCTTTGAAGCATGAATCATATTGTGATTCCTTCCGAACCAGGTTGGTGTGGCGAGTTGCAAAGTTGCGAGGGGGGGGGCTAGAGGGTTGGGTTTGGTATGCCTGTTGCCTTTGATACACCCAATGTTGAGGTCCCTTTGCCCACTCCCATCGCACTCTCCCCGCCTCTCCCCACTCCCACTCCCACTCCCACTCCCATCCTTGTCGTTCTCATCCCCCTCCCAGCAATCCTGGCTACAGACCAGGCAAGATGTCGATGTCTCTGGCACCTCACCCTGTCGGCATCAAGGTCCTGGGTGGGCGGGTTGGTGACTGCCCAGCTGGCCACTGGTAAGTCATATGTTGGGTCATATGAAGTCGTGGCCTCACAATTGCCATTCCATAGTAGTTTCGAGTGGTTGGCCAAACACCCGTGGGCCCTCATGAATTGTCCTTTTAGAACAGTCCATTGTTTCGGGTTGATGGATTATTCTAAGGGTGTGGGGTTTGGTATACAGACAACAGATACTTCTAGATGCTTCTTCGAAGGCAGTGTTGCCATTTCGACGACGTCGAATGCCAAGTGCTTGCTTTCTGAAGTAGGGAGGCCTTTTTGCTGGATGCGCAAGGAAGACACTGGCCAGAAGCTCCTATAACTATATATATATATGTATATCATATATACTCAAAAGGGATCAAAGTTCCTCTTCATCACGTGCTTGCAAATTAAATGTGGGGTAGACCAGATTGCCTGCTCATGTCTTGCCGTTCAAGTTGCTTTGTTGGAACGCGGCATTTCGGCAATCTGCGAACATGTTTTGTCACGGTCTGTTGGTTAAACGCCTGAACCACAGGTCTCGGTTTCAAAAGGAAGAAGACTCCCTCACGATTTGCTATGTTTGAATCACCCGGGCTCCAGTTTTACTTGTAAGGGTAGGGGTTCACCATGAAATGCTTGGTTTTCTTTTGGCTTTCCCTCAAATGCCATTAATTCAAAAAGTGGGGCGTTGTCCGTTTCAGGACGCCCGTTCCATTTCCACTTCGGACCACTTCAACCCCGGGGTTCAGAGAACAGTGACGATTCATCACAATTGGAGGGCTGTACCCTATTAGTATGGGTTTATTAGTTCGAGTTTCTCCAAAGAAAAAGATCTGGGCCAAATTTGTTGCGCTCTCGTGCCAGTTCTGGACCTCCATTTGGAGGGCCAACAAGGACCTCCGGGCAGGGTGTACTCGGAAGTGCAGACACCATGGGTCTGTGTGTGTCCAACTAGTAGAATCCTTGAAATGGGTGGCACTTCCCTAGCACCCTCCGTCCCAAAAACAAATGAAGCAAAACACAAACAGATAACCCACAAAGAGGAGCACCTAAAGTGGGTATGTGAAGACTACGTAAGGGTCGTCCGATCGAAATATGCAAGGCGTGGAACTAGAGGGGACGCTGGTGCACAAGACGCTTAAACTTGTAAGGATAAGTCAGCTGCGTTGGAGCAGGCGTGGGACGTCCACAGGGAACAGATCGCTGGGAAAAGCGTCCCGACCGTTTCGGTTGAGTTGCCCTTGCTCCAGCCCCGCTGTTTTCTCCTTGAGAGTCGCATGGGTGAAATCATGTTTATAGTGCGAACTGCTGGTTGCTCCCAAACCAGCAAGTTGCAACAAGCTGCACTTGTTGCAGGGTCAATTTTGGCCCAACATTGATCATTTCCAACTGGCCTGCACATTGCTTTGGTCGCTGTGACACGCGTACAATTGATGTTTGCCGAAGGAAACCACCGTGTTTCAAACATTATACTAATATGCGGAACTTGGCATGTAATTCGTTCCCTTAATAAACAAATACCCCTGCCGAACAATATCTATCAATAGGGTCCATTTCTGTGCCAGGGTTCCGCTACGGTCCTCGTCCGGGCTCAAAAATTGCGCAAAATTGTGGTTTAGAGCGGAATTCACAGCGGAATCTATGTTATTGTTTGGATTTGGTCTCAATTTGGTTTAAAGCTGGATAAAATTGGATTAGCATCGGTCAAATATTAGTCTAGTATTTGGTCCAACATGCAACCCAGTAAAACTGGAGTTGGTTGGCGGGCAATTTGCAGACATAGAATTGGTGTAGTATCGGCTAATTTCAATTTGGTATTGGGAGATTTGGGGGTCTTGGGAAAAGCCTATTTATTAATATACTACGGTGCATTGGGGGAAGGGATGGTTGGTTGCAGGCTACTGCGCACTTCGCCATTCTCCGCAACAGGTTCCGTCACTAGCTGCTTGGTCATCAAACTGATTGATTTTGGTCTCAGTTTCTGTGATACCAAGGGAATCCCCTTCAAAAGTATAAAGAGGTCACAGGCTTTAGCTCATGTTGGTATTACAAAGGCGAGGCTAAGCTACCGCCACCTTGTATGAGCAATCCTACCTTCACGTCTCCAACCCCCATATCTGAAAGCGCCCTCGAGCATCGGCCACGTAAGCCGCTGGCACCCATCTCAGTGCAGGGAACCTCCCACGAAGTTTTCGCTTTCAAACTGAGCTGTCTTCCAACGAACCAATCTCCTCCTGCCTTTTCTATTGCAGTTGGACAGGTAAAAGGCACAATTCCCCCATTTGGGTTTAGTTATACCCACTACCCACAAGAAACTTATGCCATAAACTATCATTTTTACTTTCACCCTGATGTAAGGGTGCCCGGTTAGTCCGGTTTCAACCCATTTTGCCGCCAACCCCTCACAAGGACTTGCCGTACAGCGAGATCCACGCGAAGTTTCAGAACTGGCACCCGAGCTTGGGCTTTGCGCAGGGGGGTCAGAGGAGCTCGATCTATTTGTTGAAACACGCATGGGTCATGTATACGGGTGTTTCCAAGAACAAGCCGGAGGTCCAACAAAACCACCACAAGAGGCACACAGGCTCACAATGAAACAATATACCCTCAACAAATGGGTGGTGTTTCCTTCAAACACTGCCAAAAGGCGGATTTCACATTTGGACACCCCCACATAGATAGATAGATAGGACGCCGTATTCATCACAGCGGGAAATGAGATGCTTTGGGAATCCCGCTTTCTGTGACACTAACTGAATCCCTTATTCCAGGGAAGGACGCTAAATGGGGCTGAGAACAGCTTTGGGCTTGCGTGACGTGACAACAGTGTGACTTTCCGCCTTGCATTCGACACCACTTCATGTCGCCCAACTGAAGTACGAAGAAGCGACAATAGAAGCGATGAAGCAGACATGATGGGAATCCCACTTTGGTGTTACAAGGTGGCAGGGAAAAGGAATATTATTGCTGTTCAACAAATACAACACAACGTGTGTATATATATATATAAATATAGAGACACAAGTGTACATATATATATATATACACCGTATACATCGGATTGTTTTAGAGGTCCTTACATTTCCAGCAAATCATGTGCGCCCCCCCACCCTGCCTTTGGCCGTCGGCGCCATACTCTGAAGCCTGTGAGCCAGGTATGGACATGCATTCCACCGCCAGTTCGGCAAGTGCGCCTCAGGTTGCCTGGAGACATTACCCCGGCCGCAAAGTCCGAAGGGATCCCTTTGATCAGCACCCCGCGACTAAGAGCCTCTTGCTTGGAGGAGGCTTTGGCCTATTAAAGTAGATCTACTTCGTGTCCAAGAACCTTTCGGTGGTAGGTGGCTATGGCTGAGGGTCTCACCGTCCATTCCCGCCTCACAGCTCCAGAGCTTGGGTACAGACCCCTGTGTTCAGCTGACGAGCGAGCTTCGCGTCAGTCCAGTTGCCAGGGTCCTCGGAATCCAGCCTCAAGCAACGGTTTTTTTCCTGGGAACGCCTGGACCCAGAAAGGTGGATACATCTTGGTTCACAGCACCGTGGTTATACCCTGTGTCTTGACCATCCTTGGGAGGTACTTCTACGCCCACCGTGCCGGCCGCCTGGGTGTCTGGGCTCCCCTGGTGATGTTCGGCGTGGGCTTCAAGGTCGTCACCATGTGACCCACTCGAAACTCGGATGGCCATGTGCGCGGCTTCGTGCGGCTGGCCTGAAAGTGGGGGCTTGCAATGTCAAACACCTGAAACCAACAGTTGCATGTTTTGGGATTCATTGATTTTATATTTTGTCGACGTGGTTTTTGGCCCTTCTTGCTGCAGTGAAAGGGGGAGGCAACATGGTTTGAGCCCTTTTGGGCTCAGTTCTGTTTGGAACCTTAGCCCGTAGCCGCAAAGAGAACCACTCCGGCGCCTATTTGGGCAAAGACCCGACAGCTCGTGGGGCAAAATGTGCTTGGTGCCGATTTTCACAGACCATCGGCTCAAGGGCATATCTCCTCGGGGCAGGCTCCTCTGGCCAGTGTATTCAAGCGGTTTCGGGACAAACGACGTAGGCAGTGGCTTTATCTTGGCCCTGGCTTCCATCTGAGCTTCGGCCAACATCGCCTCCAGTCCTCAGGTGGACTATTGTCATGGAGACACACTCTTTGGCCCGTTTTTGCATCAGACCTCAAAAGCCCGACAAGAATGGACATCCCCCCACATGTATCAGGCAGGGATGTATCATCCTGGATTTCCAGTATGTTTGGCAAACCGCTGCGTTGATTTTGGCTCGTCTCCAGAGTTCTTCCTCCTCGGGAAAGCTGATAGGGGAAGATATCGCAGGGATGGACAAAGGCCGCACTCACTTGGAATTTGGATGAGTGATAGTTTATGCAAAAGCCTTCACCACTCCACCAAAAAAAACAATTACCAATCCAGAGAGTGAAGAGCAGGGAGGAATGCTTCTCCGAACACAAGGGTCCCTATGTGTCCCTTTCGGTGGTTTTAAACATCATATTGTTTCGGCCCATTTTAAGATGTTTTTGAGGCGAAACCCCTGGAACAACCGATCTTTGCAACATCTTTGCATGGCATGATATGGCATGGCAATCCACTTGCCACATGACCCTCGTTGATCGCCAATTAATTGCCAATTGATCTAGATTCAAGAGCTGGGATGAAGGATATCGCGGGCCTTTTTACACCACAAGTGCGGCCGCTCTTTCGATTCACATGGTTTTGGGTAGACCCGTTCATTCCAGCTATTGATGGTTTTTGTTTTTTGGTTTTGTTGGTCATCCATTTGGATGGATTCAACTCTTCTCATTGCAAGCCACCGCGCATCTTCGGCCACGTGGGATTTGCAAGACGTGTCAACCAGAGGCGTCTGTTCATTGTCTAAGTTCCCTCGGGAGGCGGTATTGCAGCACACATCATGCATCTTTTGGGCTGGACTGCACCTCTTGGTGTTCCCACTTTGTTCAGGATTGGTGCAGCTTGGGCGACCGGCTCAAAACAGGGGGCAGCCACCTAAATGCTTGGTTTCCTTTTGGTTTCGCTTGAAACCAACCCAAACAGGGTACCCGCGCAAAAGCAACCAAGCGGTTCTTAGTTGTGCCTTCCCAGTTGGGCAACTCGTAAAGGATTTAGGTATGCGACCGAGTGTACCTTGTGATGGTTTGATCCGTTTCTTGGGGTTCAATATCAATCACCATTCCCTGCCCCAGCTATAAATTACGTGGTTTCCCCGACTGTCACTACGGATTCCATAGGGTTCAAGGGTCCCATTTTGAACCACCCAGATACTCACCTGGAACATGAAATCCCAAACTTGGGGGGTCCCAAAAAGATATTCCTCTAGAACTAGTGGTTTGTAGGTTCCGTGTTCATCATGAGTGTAAAGAGGTTGAAGAATTAGACCCACACACACACACACAGGATTCTCTTATCATGACTAGTTTTCATGCGGTTTTCGCAGACCTCATGACCCCCTTCTGATGATTTTTCCGCCTCTAACCCAGGGTTCGGGGCCTGCCCCGCCCCGCTCTTTGCGCCGAACGCAGCGCGCCTCTCGCAGGTACTACGGCACGCTGCGTGACACCAACGCCGCCAGCGATGCCGCGCTGGCCAGAAGCCTCAGACACCGGCGATCCGGCGATCGCCGAGGCCACAAAGGGATCCCAGAAAAGGTCCAGGACCAGGCAAGGTCGGGATTTTCAATTGCAGCCCTTCTTCGCTTTTGGGGTTGGGACTTGTGGGAGGTAGGCAGTGTACCATTTTCCGCTTTTGGGGAAAGGGGTTCTCTTGCAAACGGCAAACTGTTTCATGAAGTTCCACCAGGATTCGGAGTTGCGGTGCCACCGTTCGCGCGTGAAGTGGGCTAGAGGCTATTATAGATACAATTATACTAAGAGCAATTGAGTTTTTCTTGCGTCAGCGGTTGGCGCCATCTGAAATCCTTTTGACAAACATGTTGATTGAACAAGTATTTACATCCAAGGGTTGAACTTGTTGGCCAAGTTTTCGTTTTCCATTGTTTGCAGCTTCCCGATGCAGCGGATGGAGCTTGGCTGACATAGTTAGCGTTTTACCTGTCTTGTGTTTGTCTCAGCATGTCGTCCCGTGTACTACACGAAACGACTTGGGCACGTTTGGATTAACAGGGGCTTCTGTTGACACCAGTCGAATGCGTTCAGGATGCCGCACTGTGTGCTCAATGTACACTGTGTTACAACAATGCCGGGGAAGCCGGTCGGTATCCGACAGCATGGTTTGGGTGCTCAAGATTACCTTTTTCACAATTCCGGCAAACCCTCAAGGATAGGGAAGGCGATGGGCCTCTTGACCACTTTCCTTTTTGGGTGAAAATCAATGGATGCGGAAAACCTTGCAACTTGATTGACAGAGGGGTTCCCTTCACGTCTTCAAATACCAGGTCAAAACGCAGAAGAGGCAATCTGCGTTGCATTGCCCGGATTTGTGATCTGGCCAAACGGCACCGGATCCCGTATGCCAAGATTCTGGAAACGGATCACGAGAATGAGAGTCCAGGAGTACCTGGGGGATCCATTTGGGATCAAGACTACTTGCGGGTTCGATAGGCAGGGAATGAGGGATTGACCCCTAACCATTTGTGGCTTTCTTTACGGCTGTTATGGATTCATTCCCAAAACCCATGTTGATTACTGACTGAGAGCCAGCAAGTTGAGGGATTCGTGTAGAATCCTGCAGTCAGGCATGTTTTCTTCCAGAAGTCGTGCTTCAGTTATGACACAAAACTTCCAAATACGCACCACAGAACAAGGCTTTCTGAATGATTCTAAGTTGTTTGGTGTCCTTGTATTTTGTTTGATATGTTTAGTCACACTGCTTGCGTGTTTTGAAAGTGTTGTTGGTTTGCTTTTTTGGTTGCAAGCGTGTCTTTTCTTGGCATTCCTTTGTGTTCTTCCAAGCCGAACCGCATGTAAGCCCATCAGTCAAGGAAGGCGCTTGTCATTTTCTGTTGGTCTCTTCTCAAAGCTCAACTGAGGCCTACGGCCAAAGCGGGTACAAGACCAACCCCGTGCCAAAGTGAGTACGACCTGCCTGCAATTTGCGGGCAATTTGCGCAAGCCCGAGCCCAGAAGGCTGGCCCTCAAACACTTGAATGCTCTTCATTTAAACCGTTAAACTTAACTGCTTGGGAAACATATATCTTACCACCCCTTGCGACTGCAAAAGTGCTTGAAACTGTTTGTTCCTTTTCTTCTGTGGTTAAATTCTCGTCTCAGACTGGTAGGTGTTCCAACCATCGCACTGCGAGAGAAAAGTTAGCCTTTTGGGGCGCGGTTCAGAAAAGTCCAGGCGTCCTCTTGGATGTACGCTCCCAAAACAGGTGTCAAAAAATCCCGGGATGGCAGTGTATGAGAAGCAAAGTGGCAACAGCACCGGGGCACCTCACCGAATTGCGTCAGGTAGAGCACCTGGCTACATCTGGGGTCTCCTCCAAATATATGGGTAGGCTAAAGAATAGAGTCAGACAATATAACTTTCTGTGTACGCCACATGTGGACCAAGACATGAGGATAATAGACAGGTCCTTTCAGAAAGGTCCTCTTTATGGGGTTTGATGAGCAGCGGACGCGCTATCACCACAGAATCGGCTTTGGGTGCGGACCAATTTCTGATCGGTTTAATACCCGGTTGAGAGGTAGGTCGGTGGCTGGTTGCAATATGATGGTGGGGTATTGTGTGTTGTTCATGTCGTGTGTTGCCCGAGGGCAAACAAACAATTGAGTTGGAGCACGACATGGCTTGTGGCAGACCTCAGGGGGCTGTCGGACGGCGCAAAATCTCCGCGGCCTTATGAAAAGTGACCCTGGATCCATGTCGATTTTGTTTGGACAAAAAGAAGCGCGATGGCTGACGTGTGGCGAGAGGCTATTGAAGATAGTAACACACAAGTTTTTGGTAAATTTCATGCACCCCTTTGGGTGGTGAAATTCAGGCCCCCTTCTTGGCCGCCAACTATGTATGGATATATGTGGTAGAGAGTATATGGGTTGCAAGGTCTGGAGCTATTTGGGACCGGGATATACCCGTCCGGGGTACTGATTACATGTTCAGTTTTTGTCTCGGCAGCTGCTCTTTGCCTCTTTTAGTGAGGCGGGTGGAACAATTCCTTAGCAATGCCTTCAACAAGCAGTGCCAGGGGTGAACAAGAGTATGTGCCCGACATATGCCCAGTGCCTGCCAGTGAGTCAGATTTTGTTCACCTGAGAAACTGCTGGCTGACACGCCAAGCCAGAACACAAGATGCAGCGTGCCGAAAGCAATAGCACGCCAGATCACTTTGCGTGCAAGGCAATCAGGAACATGTGCGCTAGCTTATTAGCTGGCTTAGGTTTAGCTTATTGGCTGGCTTAGGTTTTAAGGCCAAGTTTTTCAGAGGGAATCCCCCTTCCAGTGATAAAGTGTAGCCATGGAATGGGCAGGTGAGGCGGTAACGCACGACGGCCTTTAATTGGAGACCCGTTGGACACAATTTACCCAGTGATTTTCCTCCAATGGAAGGCGTTCCAACAGCATAACTCATATTTGTGAGCTGCACATGCCTGACCGAAGTATTTTCATGAGATGAAATAGCTGCGTGGCCCTACGCTCACTGCACACGCATATTATATATAAGAGTATATATACATATATGTATGACTATGCTCCCCTTGTCTACCCAACATTCCCAGCCAGCTGCTCCCAGTTTAAAGGAAATCTGTTGTTGGGGTCAGGTGCATATTGCCCGAAGCTTGGCTTGGGCTCGAGCACAAGCGCCCATCCCTCGACCCTCCGGAAGCTGAGCTGGATCTCGGCACATCCGACGCGCGATGCGGCTGCCCCGGTTTCGTGCTGCCAAGCAATTGCGCCGCTGTTCTTGGCAAGTTTCTTGTTTTGTTTGCGGTTTTTGGGTTCTGTTCATTTTTAGTAGGTGGCTAAAAAGCAAAGTTTTTTGCGACCATACCAAGGGTTGAGAAGCATGAGCAGCGCCCAAATCCCCCATTGGCCACGTTGTTTGATGGTTCGACCTACTGCATTGATTTGGATAGCAGCAAAGCCCCTATAAACCTTTACAACAAATTATCATATTGCTACCAAAAGTCAAGGGATTTTTGGGCACTGCGGAAATGCCTTGTGCCTAACCAAGTTTCAAATTTGTTTACTGGGCAGAGGGATCCTAAGTGGGCTGTGAGCATCCTTTTAGATGGACATGGCTAAGACCGGTCACTGTTTTTAAGTGGCTTCTTCATCAAATATACATATTGTTCTTTCTCGTGGTTGAGGGCGTCTTCTTACGTGCCGACTGGTGTTCCTTCAGTTACGTACGGATGTGATATGGTCGACTCGCCAAGTTTCTTGGCATGAGACAGTATGATTGTATGTTAGCATACTGACTGTGTAATTACACTGATTCTCATGAACGGAGCCGGACCATCATTTCCACAATTATTTTTTGATCGGAAACTGGCTATCGCTTGTTGGTAGAGGCATTTGGTTTGGGCGTGGGAGTATTCAACAGGTTTCTTGTGGGCGCCCAACAATCACCTTTCGGACATTGCTTCTAAAACTTTTGAAAAGAACTGAAAGTTATCCTCCCAGAGAGACAATGTTCCCCTGACCCTCGAACTACTCATCAAAAGACAATTTAACCCCATAGTTTTCCGTAATTTTGGGGCAACACTCGATGTTGCGCGGTGAATTTTGGATGGTTATCCCATATGTTGTAGTTTTGGGGCAACAATCCATGTTGCGAGGTTATTTTTTTTGTTTGGGGGGAGAGGTCCGCTCGTCCTTCCGCCCTTTTCCGGAGAGGTCTGCTGGCATGTTCCCCACCCCGGGGCCCGCCATGCACGGCGGGCCGCCCAGGACGGGCCGCGGGGTTGGAGACGGCAGGAGATGTGTTGTGTCTTTTTGTTTTTTTTGTTTTCGAGGGTCCCCTTTTTTGTTGGGCGGGCCACCAATCCGAACCACTAATTAACTTTAGGTACCCTCCCACCAGCTAACATGGAAGTGCACAGACCCCTGTTAGAAAGACTACTTTCCTCTTGGAAAGTGCCTTTTTGCACTTCCATGTTAGTTGGCGGGAGGGTAATCTGAAGCTTTTCCACATGCTGAAATGAGTGGGTTTCTGATTTTCCCCGGTTGGTTTGAAAGGGAATCTAGCACTCCGGGGGACGTATTCGCAAATGGAGGTGTTCTGTGTGTTGTTTTTTGGGCGGGTACCCCTTTTGTAGGGCGAGGGAAACCCCAAACCACCAATCCGGAGGGGGTCGAATCTGAAGCTTTGTCTTCCGTTTCTGAAATGAATCTGTTTTGTATGTTCCCCTGTTGGTTTTAAAGGGAATCTATCACTGAACATATTCTCTCATGCTTGTCCAGATCGAAACGCAGGGGTTGCTTTTAATATGTTGGGGACCATCGGGGCAGATCTGGGACAACGGAACTGGGAAAGATTTGCTTGCCTTCCCTGCTCTTTCCCCATTCCTATTGGTTTGTTTTGCCATCAATATCGGCTTCAGATTTTGAGAGGAGGTCTCCGGATACGTGCAGAAATCTTGTTTGAAACGCGGAGTGTCAATCAATCCCAACCGAGTTTGTTCTCGCCTTTCAAAGATGACAGAGCCAGGGGAGTTGATTTGGTTAGGCAGTTCCTTTTTTTCAGAGGACCCAACTGTCTAGCCTGGTGCCAGGGCGTTTTTAAATTTAAGGCCCAGGACGCTTCCGGACAAAGTGTCTAGCCGTTTTGCACATGCGTTTGACTAAGTTGCAAAATTGATGATTTGGTTAGGACACTTGGCTGGTTGAAAAGGCGTGTAGCAGAAGGGGTTGCAAAGATCTGTTGTCCAGGTGATGTAAGCTTTTTCTTTGTTTGCGCCCCTATTTCCGGTTGGGAATTGTAGCAATTTCTAACCAGGATATTGGTTGCTTGTCTGTCATGTGACACTAGATTGCTTGCCAAATAAGGTGGTGCAGTCTCTTTTTGGGAAGGTACTTGCACCCTGTTTGCAATTTGCAAGCAATTTGCAGCGTGCACTCTCAACGCTCGACTGCAATTTTACCAGGCTGAAATGTTCAGGATCGGGGCAGCAGACCCCATCTGCACAGTTCGCCGACGCACATTCAACTGCTTTTTCCAAACCCCCAATCCCAGCCTGTAAGAATTGTTTGGGGGGGGGCTTAGCAGGGGAACCTCTCTGGGGAGAAGGGTCCGATTTCAAGCGTAGCAAGTCACACAGGCGAATGTCTCTCCTGAAAAGGGTCACGGGTCATTGGCACACGCGAGGAATCTTCCTCTTGGGACTCATCTTTTAAATCCAGGGGGTCCAGGTGGCTGTGGGTCAAAACCAATAGGATCCCATTTTGGGGTAGGTGCACCACCCATTTTAGAACCTATTTTAGTGGGGATTGGGATGTTCACTGGGTGTACGTGATTTTGACCCATTGCCAGGTGAGTTGTTGCCGAGTACCCATGATTCTGAGAGCCTGCGATGAATCTCGCGCAGGACGGGCCTTGTGATGTGGCAGGCAGGGCCTGAGCCTCTGAGCTGCTCTCCTTCTCGACTTTTCAGGATTATCCTTTTTGGACACGTCCTGACTCTCTGGACCTTTGTACTTTTTGAGAAGACCCCATTTGAATGACAAACCCGGTAAACATGTTGAACCATCTCAGGAAGTGACCAGAGCAATCCTCAGGAATACCCTGACACATGCTTTCCAGGGAGACCCTGCGCCTACTAGTGAGTTTTGTCAGACCTTGGACAACAGATTCCGATGCCAATTGTCTTGTTCTTGTTTTGTGTCAACGGAAATCTTGCGGGTTCCCCATTTAGAGATACACCCCTTGGCATGCCTCCGTGTGGAGGCATGCCGAGCTTTATCCCCCAAAGGTTGCCCTTGTCTCACCTTGTTTTCGCCGCCTTGTTTTTTTTCTCTGGGAAGGTGTCCCCGCAAAGAATTTGACTCCTTCTTTTGGCGTGTTTTTTTAGAGTCATGTTATTTTTCATTTTTGTCAGAGTCACTTGGTTCCAACAAAGAAATGGCCAACCCTGGATGGGAGTTGGCCGTCGGATGTCCGATCTGGACGCAGGCTTCGGTGGCAAGCCGTTGGCGCACTTGCGAGTTCTGGGTCGCGGTGATTACTAGGTGTCACTGTGTGTTTTGTTTGTTGTTTGTTGTTTGTTCAGTTCTTATGCTCCTGAATATCAGGGCCCTAGCCGCCCAAGAAGGAGTCCGATCCCGAGAGCAGATCCCTCAGAGTTGAGCCCAAAGGATAGCAGGGGTCTGAAGGGTCTCCTGCTGTGGACGGACGAAATCCATTATGCACCCTGAAACTAAAATCATAGTTGAAACCATGTTTTATTGGTATGTACAGGGGAATCGAACCATTCCAGGGTTTCTCAGGTGGTGCAGAATTCCGTCCGTGCACAGTATGTTGGCTTGGGTATGAATTTCAATCAAGAAGATCCTGGAGAATGGGCGGTTTATTATCGCCAAACCCTCCGCCAAAGGGTCCCCAATAAACATGTGTCAATGCCAACCGTGAAGTGTGCTGAACACTTTCCCATGTTGAGTTTCAGGGGTGCAACTTAAGGGGCTAAATGCTTACTTCCCCACCTACTTACTTACTGATTGACTGACTTACTTACTTACTTATGTCATTCTTGTTACATGCGTCTCTGATGATCATGACATTGAATACCCCGCACCCCAGTCACGGGTCCTGTTCCAACGAGTTGGAAGCCCTCCTTCGACGGATTTGCTGCCTTTGTCGCCTCTCGGATTCCTCTCAAAATCACTTATCAACATAGTCATAGCGAGATATGGCCGCGGTTGTCAAAACCAATGAGATCCCACTTTGGGGTAGGTGCACCACCCATTTGGGGATTGGGACGTTCACTGGGGGTACGGGGTTTTGACCCATGGCCATAGTATTAGCCTATACGATATGGTTATGTGGTGCTTGTTATGTGTCAACATAGGGGGATCACTTAATACGCTATGTGATATGCTTATACGTCAGCATAGGCAAATACTGTTCCTTCTCATTTCCCTCACCCAACTGAAAAGGCGTATCGCTAGGCATGGTGCGGGGGTTTGCTCACTTTCCGTCGCACCCATCGCTCCGCCAGCCCCAACCTGGCATGCGACTGGTGAAGATGAACCTCCAGGGTGAGCAGGCAGAGGTGTTTTTTGGTCGTCCGGTTCCCCTTGCTTGATTGTTTGGAGCCCGGTGTTTTGGATTTGGATTTGAACCTCTGGTTCTTGGACGATGAAAAGTGATCGCCTTTTGGGACAGCTGAGTGAACCAGCCTTAGAAAACATCGGTCAAGCTCCGGATCGGAGGCCTGGCGGCTAGCTCCAACACCAGGCCCTGTAGAAGTACAGTGGTTTTCCACGACCACCAAACAAAAGATTGGCCAATTCGCGCGTGCTGCGTGGACTCTCTGGATATGGCAAACCAAGACACATGCCTTAAACAGACTTGCCCCGGCTCCCTGGCAATATCTGCGGAATCAGCCGTACGTACCAGGTTCCCAATGTGCCGGGATGTGTGATCACTACGACGAGCCCTTGCTTGTTTCTGTTCAAGGGAAACCAGAACGAAAATAGGACGACTGAATTTGACACCTTCTCATTTCATGGGAAGGTGTTGCACACAGGGAAAGGAGCGCCATTGGTCGGCGAGGGCGCGAGAACCATTGAGCTATGGATTGGGACATTTGAGGCCGATCCCCTTTCTCGCCCTCCCCACAGTCCTGGAACTCCAGGGACTCAGGCGACCGCTAAACTTCCCCATGCCACAAATATGAGATCCACCCAATTAAATCAGCTTCCCTCTGATTGGTGGTTTGGATTGGGGATTTGGTGGTTAAGAAGGGGTTTCCCATTTACCCTCAGCAAATGAGCAGTGGGGCGTCGCCAGATGTGTTCAACTCAACTTACCTCTATGGTTACCCCACCCAGGCCTATCTTCATTGCGTCCGCTCCGGGCAATCGCACAGGGGCTCCATTTCCCTTTTTGCACCTTCAAAAGTGGCGATCGTTTCAATGGAATGATTGTGTTCAAAAAACATTTGATCTGAAAAAAAAGCAGTGGCCCCTATCACATGCTTGTGTAGTACCATTTTGAGTGGGCGTCTTGCTATGCAACTGGTGGAAGTAATGTGAAAGCACTCCGGCCGTGCCGGACAGGCGCCCTACGCCACCGGAGGCAGCAGCAGCTTGTGTGCTTTGGAGGACATGGGCCCAAAGCCACGTGATGGGTATGCCTTTCGGGAAGTCCCCAAGATGGTCTGCCTTTTTCTTTCCCCTACCAACAAAAAGATGTGAGATATTACCATGCAAAAAGGTGGTTGGCATTTTCCCCTTACAACCAACAAAAAATGATGTACCATGCAAAAAGGTGGTTGGCATTTTTCCACAAAAAGGAACCACACCATCCAAAAAAGGAATCACACCCATACTTGTACTCGCAGCGTGCATGTTGCCTTCTGACCGCTTCTTAGTGCTTCCGCTTGCCTCTATAGCAGGTAGCCAGGGAAATTCCTATCAAACATGTCCTGGTTACATACTCTACTAGTATGCAGGGGTTGCATTTGGACTTTGTCTTGCGATTTACAAAGATCACTCTAGAAGTGTAGAAACCCTTTTTCCAGTGGGTTCCTCTAAGGGGTGGGGTTGAAAGCTTGCTTTTGACTGAAGAGCGCACATGACTTGACACATCGACATGAAGCCCCTCGTGTAAAGCTGGAGCCTCGGTCAATGGACTTCCGTTTTGCTCGAGAAAACACCCCGTACATGCGAGGCTTTCCATGAATGGCAAGCAAGAGGTCAGGTTTACAATCTGAACTCTCGGGCAAGGCGCGGACCGTGCCAGCTGGCCAGCCCAGAAACGGCACACCTGCAGTGTTTGCTTGGTTTGGAGACCATGCCTCTTGGCCTTTGTGTGTTTAAGCAATCTATGTTGGCGTCTCCCATGTCCCGAACAAACTCAGGTAACTCCTTGGTGGTTTGGATTGGTGGTTTGGGCATGTGAACCCCTGGTTCTTGTGGAAGGTGAATGGGAATCCACCCGCGAACCTCCAAGCCACCAGCTAGAGGGAAGCTGAAGGAACTGGACCATGACCGAACTTGGCACAATACCCCACACACACACCATTATTCTACTAGCTTCCGCGGTATTATGTAAAGCAAAAAACAACAACACATGTCTTGTATGCTTGCATGAAACACAACCACCTACACCCTGAGCAATCTACGGATAGCCCGAGATGTTTGTATCTGGAAATTCCTGGGTTCTTTTCCACTAAGGGGTGGGTTTTTAAAATACAGCGTGTTTGTTTATATATTTATTTTTTGGGGGGAAACATGCTACTTGGTTAGGAAAGATAAGTGGACAGCTGGGATAAGGGCGACTATTGCGGAACTCGTGAGAAGTCGTTGATTTACTTGAGTGTCAAGGGGGTTCACCGTTCAACACGCACTCAGAACCATCTGCGTTTCGACCTTAGGTTCCACGTTCCTTCGGGGAGTCAATCGAAGCCAGCCACGAAACGAGCGGAGGACACGAAGTTGGCCATCACCAAGGCCGGACGAGTGGTGGGTTGTGTGTCTAGCTACTTTCTTGTTTTTTCTTCGTGGGTCTCTGGTTACCAGGGCGTCTGCCTAATTAGGCTCTGGGGTGGTTGGCATCTTGCAGGGTTCCGGAGGGTTCCAGGAGGTTCGGGGGGGTTTTTGCGATACCACCTCGGCTTATGTTGTCCAGAAGCACAGTGGGTTGCTTCCTTTTTATTTGAAAAAAGAAGGGCATGCTTTTCCTCTTCACCTACAAGAGAACAGGGTGCCCTTGTTTCCGGACCTCAAAAGTGGTTGGTGGACATTGGGACATGAACCCCTTGTCCGCTAAAGGTGCCGAGACCCGTTCAAATTGACGCTCAAAGTTGCAGCTCAAGAGTAGGGCTCCCGCGTCTGTTTTGGGGAGGGCACTTGTGTTGGGGTTCGTTCAGTGGGAAACCAAAGAAAAACCACGGATTTTAGGGTTTCCCCGACTTTGCGACATTCTTATTTTATCAACAGCGTCCCGCCAAAAGGAAACTCACATTGAATTGGCAACCAAAGTTGAGGCTGGACAATTTGAGACCACACAAAAGAAGATAGAAGGATATACAGGGCGCCATGTCGTTCGCATGTACCAGCAGACCCTCCCAAAAAGGGTTTGAAGAGAACCATTGAAGGGGCAACTTCGAAGAAGGTTCTAATCCTGAACCCGGTTTTGGGAGCAGTGTTCAGGTCTTTGTGTCATCCAGGTTTTCATTTTGCGGGGCAAGGTCAGCCCATGTGAGTTTGCAATGGGCTTGATTTGCTGCGGATGGACGAAATCCATTTCGCACCACTTTGAATCCATGGTCGAGACTATATGGTTTGTTGGTATTTGCCAATGCAGGGAACTCGAATCTTGGTAGGATTTCGTCCATCCACAGCATAACCACCATTATTTACCCTGAGTTTCATCCAAATTGGGCCAACCACTCTCTTACTGGGGGTTGAAGCCTCGGGTCCTTGGACTCCTGCGCCTTCCTGGGGAAGCATCCCTGAAAATACCAACAAAAAATGGTTTCCCATGATGCACCACCTGTGGGCAAAATTAATCCACCAGGATATGGGTCATCCGCAGGTTGTAGTCCATGTTTCCATTTCCCAGGATTCCATTTTGGGTACATATTTTCGACCCAGAGCCACCTAAGAAACCCTGGAATGATAATTCCCCTGAACAAAAATCCATCAAGAAATGGTTTCAACCATGGTTTCAGAGTGGTGCAGGGTTTCATCGTTTATCACAGCAGGAATCCCAAGTTCTTCTGGATGGTTCGGACAAGACAGAGGGAGAAAGGATCCGGCTGCTCAGCCAACCTCTAGCTGTCAAAGGTTTTCAGCGAGCCCCGCAATCAATATCAGCAGAAAACACTGCGTTTTTGAGGTTGTTCCATTCCAGGGACACCAAACAGAGGTCCATTTTACGTGGCACTGCCAAACACGAAGAACAAATGTATAACTTCGCTCAGCGAAATACTCGTTTGTCCAAGTTCTTGGAGGAGGAAAAGACATATTCCAGGTTCAGCACTGCTTTTTTGCAGAACTTAGCGGTCGCCGAGGTGCGCAGCTGCGCGCGGGCGCACTTGAGCGTGTGCGTGATTGCATAAAGCCTCCCACAGGTCGCATGAGCTTGAACCACACTTGCAGGGCGGCTCATCAGTCACATGCCAGACAACTACATATGAGAGATACCTATGTGAGAAATACCTAGCCTGGACAGAACAAGCATGAAGGCTGCCACAGTGGAGAACCACCAGGAGGGTACTTGCACCTAGCTTGAGAATCACCAGCATGAAGGGTCCCCAACTTGAGACGCGCCTACAAGGAGGGGCGGGTGCTAGCACCACTTGCTCTCCGAGCCACGGCCCCCGGGCCCTCTGTTCGGCCCGCGTACGCGTCAGGCGGAGACGGAAGTCTCCAGGCAGTCGCCGTGTCAGGTGCTTGCGGGGCGCGGGTGCTTAGCGGCTTCACCTAGCCTAGACCCTCTGAGGGAACTGGACAGGTGCCATCCATCCATCCATCCATCCATCCATCCATCCATCCACCAACCAACCAACCACTCAATCAATCAAATCAGCTTGGAAATCCCTGGGCTTTATGCATTTTCTGGTTATGGGAATACAGGGTGACTCAAGATGGAAAAGCTCAAACCATCCCCCAAACCGGTTCCCAGACCAATGCTTCGCCTAAAAAGATTAAGAAGCTCAGTTCAGCCAGAAGCCGGAGGGGATGCGCAGCACAGATGGGACTGGCTGAAGGACTGTTCGAGGTATTTGGAGCCTTGAAACTTGATATGGATGTCCCTCGTGTGTGACAGGTGATTTACCCCCCCCACACGACTAAGATGGAACTTGACTGGGGGGTTTCTGCAGCACAGTTGTTCTCTAAAGGGTTACTGCTGGTGTGGGTTCCATGTTTGTTGTTGGGAAGATGAAGTAGCTCGCCCGGACTTTCAACCTGGTCTTCCAAGGTTTTTCAGGCTCCTTCCTGACTTTTTCTTGTGGCTTGACATGGGGGATCTTCCAAAGACCTGCATTATGTTCGGGTCCTGGACGATCCAGGTTCCATATTTCCCTTTTGCACAGAAGACTAAGAGGGAAACCAGGGGACCCCCCACCCCCCTACCAGTTAAGGGTATGGGTCAAAATAGAACCACCAGGGGACCGCGGGTTTCTGTCCATGTTCACTTTACCAGGGCAAGCCATTTGGGGGCTACCCTATTTTTGACCCACCGCCATATCAAGCTTTCGTTGGGTTGGATTCAATCCGAGGCCAAGAAGCAGGACCGCCCCGTCGGGCTGTTTCGCTCGGGTCACATTGGGAGTCAATGGGAATCGGTCCCCCAAAATGGTTGGGTTTCTCTTGGACAACCCTTAAAACTGCCTAAAGCGTGAACCATTGTTCAGGCGCTCTACATGGGTGCCCTTTGCCCAATTCGTCCTTCACCAATTGCTAGCTTAAGCATGGTAAAGGGCATGACTCCATGTGATCACGGGAAAATAATACTCCTCGTGAAGGGCACCCTTGTCACCACGTTTTCATGAGCTTCGACCAGCTATCACAAAAGAGTTTGGTGAAATTTGCATCGCTGGAGTGTGGCGCTTTCGGCGCTGTTCCAGCCCTTTGGACCCGAGGCCTTGTGTCTTTACATGGTCAGTGCTTTGGAACAGTAAATCCAATGATTTAGAAGGATGTTGGTGGCAGACATAAGCATATTGGAGCCTCCAGGCACATGATTGCTTTGGTTTTGATGTTTGCAGGTTGTTGTTGGTGTATCCTGAGGTTGGGCCAAGATCCGTGGAACGCGCAGCCGAGCTGTGGCTCATGATGTGGATGGAACGAGCCGGAGTATTATTTACTTAGCGACCTGCACAACCACAACTCATCTTGTCCTAAATATGGTGACCTCACCACGGCATAAAGCCCACTTGACGACAATATGGTACAGAGGTCGACCAAAACAGGGGCGGTTTTACGGCACCCCTCTCAGAATTGCCATGCTCACGCAACGGCCTTTGGGGTGTCCTGCACACAAAAGCAGCAACATTTCTAGTGTCTGGTCCATTCGGGCCAACAACGGGGACCTCACACATCAGGAAGGTTAGGGGATTCTCATTTTGGTCTGGTGGTTTGTGATTTACCCAGATCCATGTCTTGACATGTGTGTTGAAGTCACAAGGAAAAGGCGATCGATTTTGTTCCTGTGGTTGCAGAGAAGCCCCCAGACAACAAGCAAACTGTTGGTTCCCGGACAATTGTCAGCCAGGATTTGGGACAGGCTGTTGGTTCTACACATACTGAAAGCTGCCTGTTTGTCAGGTGGTTTATGTCGTTGTTGTTTGTGCGGCATGTGGATGGTGCCGGCTCCATGGTACAGGAGGTAGGCAGCCGGCTGGCGCGACATCTTCCGGCGCAGGGAAAAGTGGATTCGAGCAGCGGAGACAAACCCAAGTGGAATTGAGCTGGCTTGTCCAAAGCGTGATCCTTCGTGGCCATTGTGGTAGGCGGTTCTACTAACGGCCCATATGGGTATGTGCCACACGGGAATTCCGTTTGGAACTAGAGCCCCCCTGCCAACCCCCAAGAATACCCTTGAGAAAACACAGGCCAATACAGTAACATAATTAGCTATCATACGATCTTTTAGCAGTAATAATAACAAGAACAGTAACATAACAAGAACAATCATATGAAAAATAGTAATCATCATAATCATCACCCTTTTTCTCTATGTGGTAGACCTGCTCAAGCATTGTTGTCTTGGGCCAAAGAGCGGGTTTTACTCTCAACACCCCGGGCAGGAGGTGACCGACAACTTAGCGCATTGGACCCCCAAAACGGCGTGGTTTCCGGTGTTCCTTTATAGCCGACAAAGGGCACCAATAGCCGGTGTGCCAGCGGGAAGAAGCATTATGATAACGCCATAGATGAGGTTTGCCACACTCAGACAACCGGAAAGCTCGAGCTGAGCCACGTGCTCAAAACCCGGGGAGATGAAGGTTAGCAAGGGACAATCCCAACCATAAATAGCTGCGGATATCCGCCTTCTTAATCCTGTACGTGGTTCTGGGTCATTTTAATACCGGGTTTTGATTGTGACTCAAATGTCCCTGGCTATGAACCGGAGCTAGCCCCCAAATATGGGTGAGGATCCTTGCGGTGTGCCAGTGAACAGAAGTCATCCCAAATATTTTTCCGCGTGCCGTAGGGGATAACAACCTCCTCAATCCAGTGATTCTGCTAGGACCAGATTCTTGCCAGATTCTCCTCCCAGACCGTATCAATCGAGCCTCCTGTTTTTGGGGGGTGCCAACTATATTTCTGGTCATGAGTGTCCCCTTCCAATTGGCAGCAATCCTGTAGGTCCGGAGTCACACTTGTCCCTGGATTAGTTCATTCGTGGTAGCAACAGATCAAGTGCAGCTCGTGCGTTCAGCTTGAGCCGAAAGCGGCTTTAAATACGGGACACTGTGAGTGGTGTGGCCGTTCCAACGCAGCTTATCTAACCTGTGTTTGTGACATGATTGGCCACCTCAGTTTGCTTGCCGAAGGTCTTAGAGCCCCCGAAAGGGGCGAGGTTTAGAAACTGAGGCGGCCAAGTTCAGTGCACATTGGGACAGACGGAGGTTCAGTAGTGATCCGGAGTTGACAGTTGGGTTTCCGCAACTATTAGGTCCAAAAGACGGTCCACTTGTTTTTGGCACGCCGAAGTGGTTCCAGAGATCGGGCTTTCTTCATGTTTCTTGGTGATGACAGTGATGGGAGTGTTAGTTCAGTTCCAAGTGTTTCTGGGGTACCTGACTTTGTGCAACACCCGAAAGCTGAAATTGGAACCAACCCAACTTGGAGGGCACCAAACCCCTTTCAAGCCGCCCAAGAAGGGCCTTTCAACGACTCGGATGTGCCTTGGCGGGGAACAGGTCCCAACCTGTGCGTCGCAAACGCGCGAGCGGAGCCCCGTGGCCTGGATTCTGGTTCGCAGGCATGGCGACTTAAGCCGAGAACGGCCCGAAGAAGGCCTGCCACCGAGAATGAGACATGGACCCAAGCCAGAAGAAAACACCAAGCGGCTCCTCAGCTTTGAGACGCGCCTGAACTTCAGATGCAAGACCTGAGCCTTCACGCAAAGAGCTCAAGTTCTCGGCTTGAGCCACAGGGCGGAGTTGGGTGGAGTGTGACTCATTCGACAAACATGCGTTGCAGGATGCCACATCTTTTGCTGTTGCGCTGTTGGTTTCTGCCCAGCCCGGCCGAATCTGTCGCTCATCGTGTGACTGCTGAACACCAGCGTCTCCGGTGAGTAGATTCCGCTGAACATGGACTGTGCATTCAAGCATGGTGCATCAAACATGGCCAGACAGCCGTGTTGAGGCATGGGGACCAGAGGGTTCGGCCCACCAACCCATGCAGCATTCCATATAGCCTTCTCTTGGGCCTCCCTCCAAAGGTCTCCCAACTTATTTTGCACCAGAAGCGCAGAATCCGTTTTTTCTATGGTAATACCCCGTGAGGGCCAAGAAAAACATCTCCCCATACCAAGCGACAGCGTGGCACTTGTTGCTGTCCCTGTCTCTTGTTGGGCTGAAGCCTTCCCATGGCCTGATGGGCAAACTCATCGCACGATGGCCGGGGAGCTCAAGACTGCTGGGCTTCGGCGCAGGTTTGCCTAGCGCAGGCATGGGCAACGGATGGGTATACGAATTCTAGTTCGGGACCCGAAATGGTGGACTAGGCGGGGGTATGTGTCCAAGTATTTATGGAGGAGTTCCATTGGAGGGTTTCATTTCAGTTTCATTTCAGTTTCCTTTCAAGCATCCAAATCCCGGTCCCGAACTTCAGTTCGCGCCAACCACGTGATTACTTTGCAGGCAAGCCACGCTTCCCATACGCTCCCAGGTGCCGTTGCTTGGGGAAGAGCAAGACGAAGGCTGGCTGTTGGCTGTCAACGGGGGGCCATGCAAAGACCATGTTTTGGGAAGCCGTCGGAGTCATGAGATACAGTAGCAAGGTTTGCCAGTAGTGACCTTCTACCTTTTTTTGGGGGGGAGGGTTCCCCTACAAAAATAGACTACAGAAAAAAAGGGTACCCTTATTCTAACCTCTCTACTGGCGGACCTAGGTCTAGTGTCAATAGCGACAGTAAACAGTGGTTGATGCCAAAATGGCGCACCCTTTCTGTGCTCCGGGCCGCATGCTCCGCATGCCGCAGCCCGTTGCTTGGTTGTTCAACAATTGGTAGGTAGCTTCTAATATGCTCGACCTATGGGTTTGACTGACGTCAATCCTCTTATATATGTGGCTATAAGGCTATACAGAAGGAGTGGGTTGAACCTCGAAGTGAGCAGCGGACAAAAAATGATTGGCCATTTTAGAGGCTGGTTCTAACTACTGGTCTTATGCTCGACTGCTATTGGGTTGGATCTTTAGACTTTAACTTTTTTGGAAATCAAGGGATTTTCGCCTAAACCCCCCAAAAAGTTAAACTTTTTGCAGGGGGTCTACAGCAACCAAGTATGGTGGTAAGGCCATAGAGCCAGAAGTGGGTAACTCACGTCGAGGTGTGTCCCACTGCCTTCGATGGAGTCGGCCGGCACCTAAGTTGCCAGCCGATTGGGGATGCTAAGGTGTGCTCTTGCAGCTCGGTGCCCGTTTGCACCTCGGTGTTTTGCTTGAGTTTCTGGACTTTATTCGTTTTGGGAAGACCATTGTGACGGTATACAAGCAGTTTGGACCTTGTGCGGGGCCGTCTCAGGAAGTGTAGATTTACAGGGAACGCAAAACAGATATATACTCGTAGCACCATGTTGGGTGGTCCAGGTCCCTATTCTGACACATGCTCAACTCACTTTCAGGGATTTGCGAACGAGCAGACAGCGGCACTTTCGCCTCCAAGAGCAAAGCCCTGCGTAAGTTGGCGATTTCCTGCGGCGGACAGTTGAGTGTTTGGGAGGTTGTCAAACATACTTATGGCCTGGTCTTCTAAATCAGGGAGCCCCGAAAAAAGTGTGGATTCAATCCAGTTACTTTAGCGTCCCTTGTAAATCACTCCAAAAGGGCTGCCCTCAAACAACAACAGGTGTGACCTTCTGAAGTACCTTGATGCCTTTAAAGGGAATCCATGAAGGGTTCCAGAATTCAAAACCCTCGCCGTTTTTCCGGGTCACCCACAGACACATCGGTGAGCCCCCGAAGGCAAATCCATGGGACCGGACTTTGCCCGGTGACTCGCCCAGGTATTGGGGAGAAGTCGGCCTCTGTGCGCCCGGCTCAGAGGTGAAGCCGAGCTCGCCATGATATGTGGGTGGGCCTTTTTTTGGGGGAAAGGGGGGCACTAAAACGGTGGTGGTCTTTTTGGTGTTCCTTTAAAGCAGAGCCAAAAGGGGTACAAAACAAGACACAGCCCTTGGATATCTTTTTCAACTGGCATCCAATGTGAAGAGGTTGGATCCATGGATCCAGTTGGATCCCAGCGTCCCTTTCAGATGCATTTGGGCAAAACAAGTTTGGGCAAATTGGTACACGAGGTACACAAGCTCAACCCTGATGAAGTTCCCTCACTTGGAGATCCTGACACTTGACGAATTCTATCCAAAAGGAAATCGTTACATTATATAGTTTTTCAACCAGGGTCATGGGGGCACTTTTCCGCTAAGCTCTTATTGGCTTTTGCTTTGTGTTTAAACCAATCAAAAGCTAACTGGCTGCTGGGTTCCACGGCAACGTGGACAGGAGGGTACCCTTCTTGAGATTGGTTCAAAGGTACACCAAAAGATGAATCCACCCAGTTGGGAGATACCCCGCATTTGGAGACATATGGTTGTGGGTCAAAACCAATGGGATCCCATCTCAGGGTAGGTGAATTCACCACCCATTTTAGAACCTATTTTAGAGGTTGGATGTGGATGTTCACTGGGGGTACGATTTGGATTTTGACCCATGGCCACATGATCTTCCCAAGTGACCCCCAAAAAGTCCAGTCTATGGAGTAAACCAACTATGGTACTTGGGTGTATCCATATCAAGACACGTAAGCACGAGGGTCCCTCCAAACTCACTTCCCGACCTCCGATCCATCGACCAAACCCATCGAGGACGAAGCTCGAAGAGCCCCAGGCGCGCGTGGAAAACCAAACCGCCGGGTTTCGCTTCTGTGTTTCTGTTTGTTTGTTGAGGGGTTTGAGGGGTTGGAGGGTTGGGGGGGGGGGGGGTGACTTGAGCTGGTGCGTCTTTCTTGGTGGGTGGGTGGGTGGGTTGTGCCATCTAACTTTCACCCCGGTGCAGGTTCAACCCCACTACCAAATCACTACCCAGGGCAAGTACAGTAGAGATATCCTTCATATGGTGTCTATAGTTTCAGCAGATGAATCCCAAGCATGAATAGATTCAAAGGCCCTTTTGATCTTATAGCTTTGGGTGTGATTGTGACGCCTGCGGGGTGTGTCTTTTCCTAGAGGTCCTTTCGATTTCCCTTTTAAAAAGCCCAAACAAGGGGGTAGCCTCAGAAAAAGGCACACCCAGTTGATTAGTCTGAGTTCTCTGCTTTTTTCAACCGGCAGGCAGAGACGGAGCCCTGCCCCAGTTGCCGGACGGCCTTTGCCCTGGAGCGAGCGGCGAGAGGTGTGCCTGCTTTTTCGGTACCCTTTCAAGGTGGTTTTCCTAGGGCACCACCCGAAGTGGGTGGTTTAGATAGTTGTTGTGATTTGAACCCCTGCTTCTTGCATATGGGAAACCACTGAGAAAGGCTTCCAACCAGCAAACCAAATTACAAATTGGAGGAAAGCTGATTGTGAATCCTCTTTGACACACCTTCCCATGTCCCAAATTTGCAGAACCTTGTGGGTCTTTTTGGGTTGGTTTTTCAGCAAAATTGAAGGGCTCCCTTTTAGAAAAATGGGTTGCACTCGCAACTCACCAGCCGTTGGGTTAAGGTTTAGGGAGGAAACTTGGGTTCTATATGAGTTTATCTCAGAATTGGTGTCCGTTTTGTTTCCCTTGAACGCAACCCCAAAAAAAGCTCTCTAAACAAATACACGCCCATATTAATCTGCAGAAGTGTAATCCCAGGTCCATTTCTGTAGGCAATCTTTTGGTAGGTTCTCAGACTTGGGGTCGATTTCCATGACCGTTGAACATATCAGTATTCAGAAAAAATCAACAGATTGTTCGCTTAGAGACTGGGGTAGTGGGTGTGCACTACTGCGGGTTAGACAAAGAATCCTGCCCCACTTGGGATAAATTAAGCCCTAAAGTTCATGGGATAGCCCACCAACTGGTGCGAACATGTTTTTGTCCAGCATGAAGCCAACAAGTTGTGGCAGAGGGCTTAGAGCTGGCAATCTCGAAATATTATTTTTTACATCCGGATTGCGCGCGATTCGCGCGCGGGAATCGAAGGAGGAGGACAGCAAGGAAGGAGCTGAAGATAAAGAGGTTTTGATAGGCTTTGGACAGTTTTGTGAGTTAGATCCATTGAATTCAGCGCCGCAGAGATGGAGTCTTCAAAGACAGCTTGACCACAGCGGTGACGGCAAGGAGTCATCAATCCGCTCCTGGCCAAAACTGACAGTTTGGGTTTTTGGTCTTCACGATGTTTTGGCAGGTCTTCAGGGAATCTGACCCGCTGGCAGCCCGAAACTCTCGCCTTTGGGGAAATTGCGACGTTGAAAATAGATGAACATATCAACCTTTCGGAAGTAAACCAACCACATCCAATCAAACGGCCCCGGGTAATTGCGGTAAATGATTGTTGTACATTGCAGCAAGTTGCAGCAAACAACACGATCAGATACAAGGCTTTTCCTGTTTTCCTTGCAATGC